CCCCAAAACCCCAAAACCCCAAAACCCCAAAACCCCATGCATTAATAATAATTTGAGTTAAATGACAAGCATTAATAATATATTGTATATTATAATTAGGTCAATATGTCAAAGAAAGGAAAGGCTTTTAGGACTAAAGGTAGTTTATTGGTAGCAGTAATTGGAGACGAGGCAACTGTAACTGGTTTCCTTTTGACTGGAATCGGTGAAAGAAATAGAAAGGGTGATTCCAACTTCTTAACTGTTACAAAAGACACGACCCTCTCACAAATCGAGATATTTTTCAGGAAGCTCCTTGACAGAGATGATATTGGAATTATTATGATCTCTCAAAATATTGCAGAACAAATCAGAAATCTTATCACAGAGCATGAAGAAGTCATCCCTACTGTTATGGAAATTCCAAGCAAAGATGTTGCCTATGACCCTGAAAAGGATGTTATCCTATCAAGAGCAGCTAGAATCTTATATGGTAATGAAGTAGGAATGGAAAAACTCAGACAAATTGATTGAGTCTAGAGAATATTTCCGGATAGGGTAATGAATCCTAGATCAGTGAGTCTTATTTATCTTTAATTTTTAATGTTTTTTTTCTAAACATTTTATTTAAATAACAAAATATTCAGGCTAATTGCTGCTGATATAGATATTTCTTTTAGTCTCCTTTTTCTTTATCTAAATTATAAAAATAATTTATATTTAAAATGAACGATAATGAGAGTGTGAATTCTTCTCAGAATTCATTAAAGAAAAAACCTAAGATTAAAAAAACTGAGAAAGATGATTAAGGATCTCTTGAGGAAAAATACAATTGACTTAATAAGATCAAGAAAGTATTGAATAAAGCACTAGAAAAAGAGAAAGATGCAAACGAAAAACTTATAAAGGAATTGGACAAAATAAAGAAACAAAATGAACAGTTGGAAAGAGAAAATAAAGAGAAAGAAACCAAATATCTGGATCTCTACATGGAAAATTCCTAGTAACATGAGAAAATATGCGAGTTGTAGAATCAATTATAAGCAAATCCTTTTTTATTCGAGGTAAGCACATAATATTTGCAATTGACACGAATTACAGAAAGAAGCTACTGGTGGAAGTGCAACTAAGAGTATCAGCTAATTAACAGGCATTAATTTTTCATTGAATAGACAGTCGAGTAATGTCAATCAATAGTAATAACATGAGAATACTGAAATAATAATGAATCTCGAAAAAAAGATTGCTGAGCTGTAATTGAATCTATAGAAATAGGAAAGGGACTCCTCATTCAAGGATGAAGAGCTAAAAAATATGAGAAAATTTGCGAAAGAAGCAGCTGAGTAATTGCAACCTTTGAAAGATAAGGAGAATGAGTACTTGAGAATCATTCAAGATAGAGATTTAATTATTCAACAAAAGGATGAATAAATGATATATCTGAATTCTTAAATAGATGGTATTAGATAAGAATATTTGCAGAAGATCAAGTACCTCGAATAAGAACTCAATCTTAAAAATATGGAAACAAACTCCTTAATTGACATTAAATTAAACAATGAGTAGGAATTCGAAAAGAAAGAAAAGACGATTCTGAGTTTAGAGTAGAAAATTCAAGACTTAGATGAAAAGATAAAAGATTAAGATATTGCTTTGAAAAAAATGGGAGAGACTCTATTTAGTAAAGGCGTGGAAAATAAAAGATTAGTCGAGATTGTCAATGAATTCAAGAATGAGCATTTGTTCTCTAAGGTAATGGGCCAGAAATATTCAGTCCAAAAAATAGGTTCTCTAAAAAATGAAGATTTAATTGTAATTTAATTGAGCTTATTATCTTATAGTTTAGATTTACAAATGATTCATCCTAGGATGGACAGTATTTCATAGATATACTAAAACAGAAGGGCTAAAAATTGGTTAAATAGATTTGCATAGCTGATATATATGCATTTAAAAACCTTTAAGCCACTAAATTTGAGCTGACATATTATTCCAACAAAAGGGGAACTTTGTTTTTTGGCAAAGGTGAGCAGCTTAAAAGTGAATAATTCCAGAGTAGACATCTTGCTGATATCTAAGAGACAATAAGTCAGATATAAAATCTAATTGAACAGGAAGACTACAAACTTGATGAACATTTTGAACAAAATAAATCGTAGTCTGGTATTAGAATGCAGTTTACAAGAAAAAATAAATTCAGAGATGAAAAAGATGATGAGGAGAGTAAAAGTAGTGATGAAGATAAGTTTGTTTATGTCAAAGCTAATCAAAAGTAGTAAGAGGTTATTCAACACAATTACATCTCGGATGACCATCATAATTAATCAGACGATGATTATGACGACGAGGAAAGCGATGAAAGCTAGAACTCTCTTTGAATCAATAAACTAGGGTACTAAACAGGAATAAGTATAACCATTTAAGAAAACCTTATCAAATAATGTTAAAATTTTAGTGAATAGCAATACTATTATAAGAAAAATTAAATTCAATTTCATGTAACAACTTAATTTCACAGTCATTCCTCATCCATCCATTTGATTCTTTTTCCGTCTTCCCATAAACCTTTTCTCTCAGCTCCATTTACTTGTCTGTATGAGCCTTCTCCATGCTACTTTCCATTTTGCCATTCCCCAGAGTACTGTCTACCATCTTGCCAAGTATAAGTTCCAAAGCCATGCTTTCTATCATTATAATATTCTCCTTCATATCTTCTACCATCTTTCCAGGTGTAAAGACCTCTACCATGCATATTATTGTCTTTCCACTCTCCATCAAATCTTCTTCCATCAGGCCATTCATAAAGTCCCCTGCCATTAATTTTATTTTCAAACCATTATCCATCATAAGTTGATCCATCGTTCCAAATGTATTTACCTTTTCCATGCTTCATGCCTTCTTTGTATTCACCTTAATATTTACTTCCATCTGACCAAGATTCAATACCAAAGCCATCCTGGAGGTCATTCTTCCAGTTTCCCTCATATTTTGCTCCATTTACATGGATGTATACTCCATATCCATTGGCTTTATCTTCTTGCCAATCGCCCTCATAAACATCTCCGTCAGCATGCCAAAATTTTCCTTTCCCATTTGCTTTATTATTCTTCCATTAGCCTTCATATTTCGCTCCATCTGGCCAAATTTAAAATCCTGGACCATGTCTCATTTATTCTTTCAAATAACCTAAGTAAAAATTGACTTTTAATTAAAGTTGTTACCTTTGTAAACTGCACCATTTTCAAACACCAATTCATCAGTAAATTAAAGGCCTTCTTTTTAGGCTTAAATCTCAAGTTAAGTGATAATATCATCAGGTTTTCCGTTTCCCAAATAAATTGCAGCGTTAGTACTTTGGAAATTTTTATTTTCACTTTGTTATTTGGTCTTAGCTTGAGATTTTTACTTTTGTGTTTCACCCTCTGGTGCTGAATGTTTTACTCCTGATTTAAGTTGTCTCTAATACTGATTCATATTGGCATTATATTGGTACTTACAGGGTCAGTTCTTACCTCTTGTTCCTTGTCATTGCTATCTGTGCATGAGCATGTTTGTCCCATTGTTTTATTTAATTTTGAATTTATAATTCTCAACATTTAGCTTATATTCATCAATTGGGGTTTTGGGGTTTTGGGGTTTTGGGG